TGGTAGTGTGCGCTCCGCCGCATCGCGCCGCTACATTGCTATATTCGCACTGCGCTAGCATGCAATATTCTTACGTGCCGTATAATGTGAAAAATGTTCTCTTGCACGTCAGAAGACTCTTCTTAAAGAAAATTTCGCAGAACTCTCGTCAAAATGGATTAATAATGTTCACCTAAAAAATCCTATAATCTTTTCGCTTATAAATTGATTTAAAACTTTTCTTTGTAGATTCGAAACTCTGTGCGTCCTTTTACGTAGGATAGACATACATTTTTTTCTTGATAATATTTGTCAATTAAATTACATTTTGAGTTATCTTTTCTGTAATTCTCTTATGAAAATTGTATTCTTTAACATTTGATTACACAGATGATTTTATTATTTCAAAAATCTATTTCTTAAGAAATTTCTACTGAAAATGTAGGGATATGAAGAAAGCGTATTGTAATAAAACAGAAAACAAGACAAACTTCCCCATTATCAATGTATGAAGATTTCGACAAGCACAAAAATTTTACGTAAAATTTTTTTCTAAACAATCCGTTTTTTTCAGAAATCTTTGCGTTAACATTTAAATCTTAAAACGAATCACTTAGTGAATCTTTCTGTGAATGGTCTCGGTACTTTGTGAAGTAGTAAATTTTTTTAAAGAATTTATTATATTAATTACCAAATAAAAGAAATGAAAGGCTGTAAAGCAATATGAGAAGGTTAACGACCAAGGACGGGCAAATCAGGATAGTAAAATAATATTGGTAGATGAATATGTAATTTATTCTGTAATAATTTAGAAGAGAACATTGTCAAAACGTACATTGTTCTCTTCTAAATTATTACAGAATAAATTACATATTCATCTACTAATATTATTTTACTATCCTGATTTGCCCGTCCTTGGTCGTTAACCTTATCATATTGCTTTACAGCCTTTCATTTCTTTTATTTGGTAATTAATATAATAAATTCTTTAAAAAAATTTACTACTTCACAAAGTACCGAGACCATTCACAGAAAGATTCACTAAGTGATTCGTTTTAAGATTTAAATGTTAACGCAAAGATTTCTGAAAAAAGCGGATTGTTTAGAAAAAAATTTTACGTAAAATTTTTGTGCTTGTCGAAATCTTCATACATTGATAATGGGGAAGTTTGTCTTGTTTTCTGTTTTATTACAATACGCTTTCTTCATATCCCTACATTTTCTGTAGAAATTTCTTAAGAAATAGATTTTTGAAATAATAAAATCATCTGTGTAATCAAATGTTAAAGAATACAATTTTCATAAGAGAATTACAGAAAAGATAACTCAAAATGTAATTTAATTGATAAATATTATCAAGAAAAAAATGTATGTCTATCCTACGTAAAAGGACGCACAGAGTTTCGAATCTACAAAGAAAAGTTTTAAATCAATTTATAAGCGAAAAGATTATAGGATTTTTTAGGTGAGCATTATTAATCCATTTTGACGAGAGTTCTGCGAAATTTTCTTTAAGAAGAATCTTCTGACGTGCAAGAGAACTTTTTTCACATTATACGGCACGTAAGAATATTGCATGCTAGCGCAGTGCGAATATAGCAATGTAGCGGCGCGATACGGCGGAGCGCTTACGCACACTACCAGGCGCGCGGCTCACTGACGTGCTTCCGTCTAAAGGACAACGCCGATTGGATTAGCTTTACTCGATATTTACTGCTTCGTTGAGCATTGTAGAAAAAAATGGTTCAGGACTTTTTGACTCAATTTTTAGTCAGGAATAACGCTATATTATTAGTGGGCGCTATTTAATTAACACCCTGTATATTATTATTATGACATTATAATATATTATTATTTTAGAAATAATACATCGTTTTTATATGAGATATTAAATACCAATAATTTTATAAACACAGTTTATTATATTTTTTAATACAGGGAGAGGAAAATAAATATCGTATCGTAAAAATAAAGATTACTAAAAAACAGTGCCTCTGAACCGACTTAAATGCACTTCGAAGTAAAGTCCCGTAATTTATTTGCGTTACATTGTACGCAAAAATTGGGAAATAAAAAAAGTTGTAAAAAGGTAAAAATATTGATTAAGAAAATTCTCATGTAAAAATGCATAAAGCTATAAAAGTAAAAAAGCCAAAGTAACCATTGATCAATAAATATATATAAAAAATGCTATATATCTTATGGTTTTATATTAAGAAGTAATTAAATCTATTGAACAGAGAGAGAGAGGATAATTCATTACATATCACATAATGTGTAATAAATTAAAAAAAGATGGTGCCTTTTTAATAATAATTACGCGTGTTTAAATATAATTATCGAGATTCCACATTTACGGACTTGTGCTGAATTAATTTGAGCGATAATAAATTTATGAAATTTAGTTTCTATTATTATACAGATATTGTCATGTTTCACATGTGGTACAACTCACGACTACCAAGTATACCAATTTATAGAAAGATGGTATACATATATTTTATAATTACAAATCAAGTCCCTACCATTAATCGCACGTCGTAAAAATGTTTTACTTTTCAGCTTAAAAACTTGCTGAGTTTCGGTAGCACGTAATGAAAGTACATAAATTAAAAAGTGTACTAATTACTATTTTATATCGTTACGCAAAAAGACATAAATATTTATTATCACTACCACTGGATCTTCACTACGAATAACGCGATGCTGTTGTGTTTAATGATCGCCAGGAAAGGATGATCGACACGAACTGTAATAGGCTCCACCGGTTGCCAAGAACCCGAAAGAGGTCTAACATTGGCACCTGTCAGAAGATTTCTTGTATCAATTATCCGTTTCAATGGTCGGGTGCGCTCTTGGATGCCCAGAGCGTGAAACGTTTAAATGAGATATTACTGATTGAATATTAGTCATGCCAGGACTTGATCAGAGTGAGGAAACTAGTGCAGGAAAAAGAAAGAAGAATTTTATGTGACGACGTATCGTTCATCATCGTAAAATCGACGGTTTATGAGTCAAACGATGGAAATCGTTTCATATGTACGTTTTGTGTTTCTATTTTAGAAGTTACTCGTTCGAAAGCTCTTACTAATCCGATATGCATAGATCCACAAAATCCACATCTATTTTCGCCAATTTTCTCATATAAATAAATGAAATAATTTTACTTAATCAGACATTTCGGTTGTCGTATGCACAGGATCAGAGAAAAGCACGATCCAGTCTTGTTGTTATAATGTAGCTGTATGAAAAAAAAACTGTTCATACGAAGATTCGTAGTCCGATTGATCAACAGCATCATGATGAGACCCTCACTTATTATATGCTTCTCTTTCACGATGAAGTAGTTACGAAAGGTTCGAGAGACTTTTCCTGAGAATTTTGTCATCTTTTCCTCTCTCTTTTTCCTTAATAGCTTTCATTAAGCTAAGTTGCTTTTATAATTAGCACATACTCCAATGACGGTTAGACAATTTGCTATTCAGTGCATCGTAATTTGGTTTTGTACTCGCGTAGTAGCAGACACGGTAGAATACAGCCATTATCGCAATTATATCCTTATCGTCGTGAACCGTGAACTGCGTAATTCCCCAGTAACGGCGACGCGCATTCTAAGATGGTTAAAGGTGATTTAAAGTTGAGATGAATATGAAAGTCCACTTAGCTTCATCCAAAAATTGTGAGCTTCTGTTACTTCACCAATCACGTCCAATCACTCGCGCAATTTTTTTTTATTTAGAAATAAACTGCAGAAATTCAATTTAAGTGCGAGAATGTGTTTAAAGATTTCAAAATTTTGTGTTGCCTGAGAAATTCCAATCATTTCTCTAAAATAAAACTGGGTGAACGCATGTATGCAATCACCGTAATGCTTTCATGTTAATTACACGAAAGACTTCAGTCAAATACTGAGCTATCATCACCCAGTGAGAGATAATTTGTCGATCGACGTCGAAACAACGTCAAATTCGACATCGTATTTACATCGATCGACAAGTCATTTCTCGCTGGGCAAGTGTCGAGGGTTGCGACACTGAAACGCTCCCTTTTACAAAACTACAAGATTTTCTGATTGTAATCGTAGTTCAAACAACAGATCATATAAGCATCAATGTGTCATTGCGATTGTCGTTGTCTGACGGAAGTAATAATACAATAGGTGCAACGTGAGTAACAGGTGCACAAACCAAACAAATTGCAATGCGGTGCAGTGTAATGTATGATAAAGCGTGTGTATTAACAATGCAATAGTGTGTTCGCAAAAGTAAAGATATAAAGGGAAGCAAAAAAAAAGAACACAGAAATACGTAAAAGGTTTATGACATGTACGGACCAGCAAACTTGTTGACGTAAAAAGCACGTGAGCAACATTTAACTATCACACTCAGCTTAAAATTACGGCAGCGTACACATACATCCGTGCCGCGGAAACTCCGAGAGCGAGAAATTTGGAATTTTGCAATTCGATACAATATAACAGTAAAATAACGTTACATGCACAGGCATAGTCGGACTGTCTCCAAAATAATTCCTCAGAGTTTCTCAGAAGCGAAAAAGAATCTCGATATATCCCAAATAAAATTAGACGAAATATCATCTTGCGCATAATATGAAATTAATATTGCTTATCGTATTTGTTACTACTTTTCTCTTGTACTCTATCGCAATTATAAATGAAAAGATTATGTTTCTATAAAAGTGTCATAGTCCATAAAATTGTTAAGTGATAAAAGATAAATTAGATGAAACGCAAACAGAAATATAGAGTATTTAAAGGAAGTTACTTGACTCGCGCATTGTTCTCATATTTAAAGATTATATTCTTATTCGGGATTTCAAGATAATATTTTGCCTGTTAGTTACAAAACAAATGCAAGGAACAAAAGCAAGGTGTACTTACCGGTGACGGCGGCTGCCTCGCTACCCTCCTCGTTAACTTCGATGAAAGCCTTTTGCACGACTTTGCTGATCTTTAAAGGTACATTCGAAATGCCTGAAAAATCAGCGCTATCGGTGAACGGTTGAACAAGACCCATCTGCAACAAGCAAGACAAATAAGTGAGTAAAATGTCGCCTTTACTTTGCTTCATTATTCGCGAAACATTGTTGTCACGTACCTTCGTCTTCAATGTCGCTCCAAGATCCAATTTGGATTCGACCTTGAACTTGGGCAGGAACACTCGGACCTCGCGTTCGTAAGTTTCAGCAAGGCGGGTGCTGCATTCCGTGCTAACTTCATCGAGTTTGTCGGTCAGTGCAGCTAGACCGTCAACTTTATTGGGTAGGATGATCACCATACTGACGTCTTTGTTCTGCAGTAATAAAAATTAAACTTGTGTAAAGAGGGATTTCCAGAGATAAATGAAATACACTTGTGACAAAAAGCAGAAAGATATCTCAAACGTTCAACTAGATTCTTTTCGGAAATTTGGGAATTACCGCGTAAGGCAGCTCGATGCATTTAGCATCGTAATCCGGCAAGTCAACGTATTTGTAGTTGCCCTTTCTGTACATAGTAGGAACATCCTTTACGTTGTTGGCGTCAATATGGAACGGGCGATCCATGGTGGCCCTAGGATCAAACTCGTGAGCCCAGGTGCCCTTGAAGTACACCGCGTTTGCCAGGATCAATGCAGTATCGCTATCCACATCGTCTATAATAGATAATAAAAATTAGCATGAGTATTCTTTAAAATTTGGCTCAGTAAATCAGTAAATTTTTATACGTATGGAAATATTATCTGCACACGTACGAATATATTATCTACAGATAGCAAAGATTATCCAGACGTTTTATACTATTACATTCTTCGCTACTTAGTTCCTTTAAATCGTTCGTGCAAATGCAGGAAAGAAATCGCATTTTTGGTCGTTAAAGAATTAAACGCATATACATGTATAAATGCAAAATGTGAATTGTTCTTTAGTGGCGATCGTGGCGCAGAGGATTGTGCGCTGGTCTGGTAATCCGAAGACCCGGGTTCAAAACCAAACAAAAACATTGTTGGTTTTTCGTTCGATCGCCACATAGCGAAGTGGATATAGAGAGAGTGTTCTAAAGAGGTTTGGCCACGTTCCTTCAAAAACGCCTTGTAACCCTAAGGGGAATCAATAAAATGTACTAGTGAATTGTTCTTTACCGGCAGTAATGATGCTGTCGATGCGATTGTTGGTATTCTCCTTGCACCAAGTGTTAACGGTGTTCGCGGCTGCGTCGCTTTTAGCAAAGTCCACCGACTGTATGTCGGAATGATAGTACGTCTGGAGCTCTTGTTTGTACTCTGGTTTCACTGGGAAATTTTCGTTGATGAACATCTTGTTAGCGAGCTTCAGAGTTACATTTTGAACATTCTGCAAAAATAACATTTCGCCTTCGATTAATACTATCCGTCAATTGAGTGTCATAAGATATATCATAAAACATGACTAAAGTTAATTCAACATATAATTGATTTATAATGTAATTTAATAATTATACGTAATAATTTTCTTCAAAAATATAACAAATGTTATAGTATTCTATAATACTTTGTAATATTGATGGTTCAGAAAATAATATTTACATTTTATAAATCTCATTCTTCATTTTATCAAGTTTTGAGGATTTATATTCTGCAAGTGCCATACTTTACAAATCTTACGTTTGATAATATATTGCAATTTGATAATTACATTTAGTTTATCAAGCAGATTCTGGTACCCTTGTAGAGCTTGTGACTTTTCAGCTGGCAGCCTGAGAACATTTTGGAATTCCGTTTGAGTCGCTCCGGCGGAGCCCTGAGCAGCCATGCTCAGAGCAATATCGGCACTGAGAGGAGAGCATATTAAATTCTCTTGATGTTCTTTTGCAACAGTCTAAAAAAAAGACATTTTTTAATTACACACTAGCTTCATTCATCACGAATTAGAAAATAATGAAATTGACTTGAGAATTAAGTGGTTCTTTTGATTATTTCATTGTCGGCGCCGAGTTAGTAACACAATATCGTTCAGTATGGATTTGGTCAAAGCTATTTTCTCATAATTATAATTGCATGATATTAAATTGATAAATAATACAAGGATAGCTACGTAATGTCAGAGTCTGATAGAAAAAGCTTTGAGAATATTTGAATTTAATTAATATACCTTGACGAAGTTGGTGGAAAACAAATGAGCGCCCTGAGAAACAGCCTGAAGAGCCGCATCATTTTCAAAATTTTCAAAATTTTCATCATTTCCAGCTTTTCCAGTTGGTGTGGCCATGACTGATGCAAATAGGCAAAGTGCCAAAAAGCTTCTTTGTACTGCAATAACAAAAAGGGAAAAGATTCAATAATAAATTCATCGCAAAATTTAGTGCATTAGCTAATGATAGTCGAAACGCAATAAGAAAAATTGCAAAATTATTATTTCCACTGAAATAATTTTAATATTACCAATATGACATAAAGTTTTAAATACTTTTACATTTATACGATCCTTAAAAGATCCTTACGGGAAAATAAATGATGTCTCTCTATTAATACGATATTTTTATGTGGCGAGACACCAAGTCGTTAAGATATAACGTCGCAAAAATCGTCGCTTTGAGCATTATAGGTGTCGAAAATTGAACACTTGCGTTTGAAGGTCGCATGTAAATTAAAATACAGTGTCGGGCATGTCGTCCAAGGTGAACGCGAAACGCTACCACATCGTCACAATCTTACATTCACACATTCACAGATTATGCATTTGCACAATATACGAGTCTTTCAAGAAGCGATATGAACATTAAAACGAAGGCCAATAACAGCATTACATTTTTATGCAAGTAACCGAGCAAGTAGTTTTATGAACTGAAGTTTATCGGTAGATAAATTCGAGAACTGGCCAGCATAAAAATCAGATCCTCAAAGCACCGCGGTTGTTCGGTGGCACAAGTAAAGTCGTGCGAATATATAAAAATTAATTTTGGAAAAAAATCAATTAAAAATATTTCTGCAATTCCTTCGTTACGTTTTGCCCGCGTCAATTAAACGAAAATTTAACTAAGCTAGTTCAGCTAAATGTTTTTCTCATTTTATTACTTTTAGATACCTTGTTTTTTTTAACCGGATAATTGTTACGATGAATCATACGTATGTTGCAAGACGTGATAATGATTCATAATCATTCGCATTTGCAATTATTACGTAACGATATTCAAAAGAATAATAATATAATCATATCGAACTTTTCGCACGTCAAATATTACTAAACATTTCACCGTAATATAGATTTACTGGCGTTCCCATACATTATATAATATGTACAATACACGTATTACATCATGTTTTTCACAGTTCATTTAATTATGATTTCAATGAGTAACGAATTACATTGTGCTATATTAACACGCATATAATTATGGTAAGTATTTAAGCTTAATTTAATAAAAAAATAATACATGTGAAATTGATTTTTTTTCCTCGGAATGAACGGAGTATAATTTCGAGGAGGAGATTTCTATATAACCAAGCCATAAATAATTACACAAATAATGACTGCTCACGAGCGCGTGTAAATTCAAGGCGAATGATTCAAACCAAACACCGCTTTTCATCGTGTATTTGCAAGGCATAAACCTGTTTTCGACACACCGTATGCTCTCTTAGAGTAAATACGTCATTCTCATTCCTTTTCATTTAGATTGACGTTTTATTTCGGTTCAACTGTGGAATAATTTGTCGCGCTGCTGGCCGCCGCTAGGTAAATCGGAAGTCGCCACGAGTTTCTCAGAGAGCGACGAGAAACGCGACAAACAAAGATACGGGCAGCGATACCGTAACGATAATGGAAAATATTTCTTCAGCAGATAGACGAGACCTCGGTTCAAGAGGGCAAAAGTTTGACAATTATATAAGCGGCGATAAACACGACCGTTAGCGGGGTGTCAGCATGCGGGTCATTTATGCAGGTCATTTATGCAGGGAGGATCCATCGTCTTCCCTTCCAACCACTTGTCCCAATCTCCTTCTTCAAATTTTACTTCGGGATTAATTATTTTAATTATAACTTCCCGTGTAACTAAAATTCCCTTTGAGTTGAAAGCCCCCGTGAATGGAAAGCGATTCAATTTTTTATAATATGCACATCTCGTATATAATATTTATCTTGAATTTTGTAAGTTAATTAAATTGTAGCGTTTTTCATAAGTTTTTTTTCAAATTTGAGTCAAAATCCCTTAGCTGTCCCGGTTATGTTTAATTCAGCGATTGAGTGAACAATGGAGAGAACAGCTATTTTTTGGCCTTCAGTGTTTGTCATTGAAGGGAGGATGATGAACCTGGGACACTCTGTACATGTAATTACACTGTTATGCAACAAGAACGGCCAGGAAAAGAATATAAAATACATATTGCTTGCGTTATATACTGACATACATAAAAATATATCAATGTTGTCTGTTTAATGGTATTTATCGATATCTCTGATTAATTGAAAAATCTTGTGCTTACGACGACAGTTATGCTAAATGGAAAATAAATCACACGTTATATCGCTATCGCTATGCCAATAAATGTATACATTCTCTCAAAATAGATAAAAATACAATCTGAGGAGATTACAAGTATGAAAAATAAAAATAAAAATGAGAACCAGTACGACGAAAATATCTTTTGGTAGAAATAATATTATTTTAGAGAAGAAAGTCTCATTACTTTCGATTTTATCTTAATCTTGTCTTAATGTCGATATTTGTAGACTTTTGCAGCGCTATTTAACCTTGGTGGGAATTCAATTTTCCGAGAATCCGACGCTCGCAGACCTTTTAGTGGTCAAGTAATTAAAAAAAAATTGTGAAATGCATTGCATAATATTTGTCGCGTTGCAAAATATTGCGTACATGATGATTAAAAATTCCTAGAATTACTTGAAGTGAAAATATAAAAATATGAGATATCGCTGTACTTGATGATAAAACAGAAATAACAAACGAAAGAATGTCATGGAACATTAAACAGATAATGTTTCCTCGTTGGGGAAAACCCATTAAGATTACTAATGTAACAGTCGCATTATATGAATACGACTAATCATGTATGCCAACTAGACACATGTGACGGATAGGCCGGCAAAGATACAGCAATCTTGTTTGGTGCAATGGTTTCTTTCTTGATAGTAACGACTTCTACATTTGAAAGAAGAAAATTTGCTTTAAGAGAGACGAGCATTTCCGAGAAGCACCGGTGAAATAATCGAAACTTAATTGATCAATTGACGTATTGTTGTGAAAACTTCCTACAAGAAGTACAATTATATTTTATTTAACAGAAATGTTCAACGGAAATCGCAAGCTTCTTCGATCAAGTCCTTAGTTTTTTCTTCTTTTCCCGATGATGCATTATTTTCTTTCACGATCGTACAAAATTTTATAGAATTTTTACAAAGGATTAAGAGAGCCTGGATTTTTTTGCAAGTTTTGAGTTTAATTTTATGTTCAAAGTACGAAACGCCTTTAATGTAAACTAAAAATAGATGAGACAAGTCGCATAATTATGCGCATGTTCAAATTTAGGGGGATACAAGGTTTTACGAATCGTAACTTACGTGACTATTTTAAATTATAGTTCGCGCGAGGTAAAATTGATACGAGCGACAAAACTTTACTGGGGTTTGTGTTATGTTTTGTGCGCGATAACATCAAGCGCAAGATAAATATTATCATATCGGAATTGCGATATGAGAGAAAAGAGTTTATATCCATCCACCGTGGATCGAATGAGTTATCTCGAGTTATCTAATTTTTCTTTAAATACATTTTATTTATTTATTTTTACACCTCTTTGAATATTAACATCGGCGAGTAATGAAATCGGTATAAAACTCGTACGTAAAACTGTATGAAGATTAATCATTCGCAAGAAAATCTTCATTCTGTCTTTTATATTCACTCTAAATTTTCATAAAATATAACAAGCCGTAAACGTCATCTATTTTTACTATGTTTTAAGTACATTTACATAATTGGCAGTAAATTTCAAAGTAACGAATGTCAAGGCCGTTCCTTCGAAACCTCGTCAAGTCTTTCCTTTCTTTTTACTTCGTTGTCTAATAAAGGACTCGAGAACGACGCGCAACATGGAAACAGTATAATCGCGTTGATGTTCAGCGTAAATCTGCACAACTAATCAACTGCATCGCGCACTATAAACGCGAGGCAAGTCCGGCTAATTCTGATAGGACGATATTAATCAACTGATAATGAAAGAGAAGTTCACGCTGCGCAACTCTGGAAATGAATCACACCGAGAGCGAGAACGGTATCCGGCACGGATCACCTTGGAGCAACGAGTAAAATCACGAGTCGAGAATTACGACTTGCCGGAGTCGTAGCATAATAGCATTATCGCCGATACGTCAAATCGGTGCGTATCGATAACACGTCGTCGTCGTTGTCGTCGTATCAGAAGGGATTCGGCCAGACTTGTGTATCCGATAACGGCCGCGTTCCTGCACGGGGAGAGCGTTTGGGGTTATCGCGGCTGCAGAGGCAAGTATCGATGGTCCATTCGACCCCACTGGCACGAAGGGAATTAAGAGGCTAAGACGCTCTCATTTAAAAAATTTAGGTTTATTTTCTCTTTCGCTGTACTCGCTCTCGAACGGTCCTTTCGCGGTTTCG